TGCTAAAAGTGTTAATAGAATTGAGCAAAACCTTAGGGAAGTGCTGTCCCGTTTCCCTGGAGCTCTGCCCTGCTGTGCTGGGTGCTGTTCATCAGCTGTGGTGTGGATGGCACTATCCCACCTCTTCACAGACAAACCAGGGGCACTGCTGGGAAGCACAGGACATTCCAAGCAGGGCTTGTTGCTGCCCCACAATTCCTTCTGGACTTTGAGAAAGCTTCATCAAGTCTACAGTCATATCCCAAGGACTTAATTGCCACTAAACTGTGGCAATGAGTTGTGAATGATGTGGTAGAACCCCGATCTTTGATCAGTTGTAGGGAACATTTTATTTCTCTGTGTGTATGTTCTTCTCTAAATATTCAGCACTGGGTTGTTCATCTAAAGCTTGGAGTAGTATCAGGTTTTTTTCTTTCTTTCTCATTCGTGTTTCCTTATAGAAAGGGAGGGGGAGTGTGAGACAGAGAGCCTGGAAGATGAAGGTTTTAAACATAAAGGGATTGTTTTGCGATGGAGCTTTCCCTTGTGTGTGTTCACCATTAAAGACGACATTTTTGCCCGGTAAATTGGACCCACGCCTGCCTGCCTTCAAAAAAAACTACCAGGCTCTTCTGCTTCATGGTTTTGAGTCTCTGATACTTTTGAAATGAAGCCTAAAGATCCTCCAAAGAGGATAACACAGCCTAATGGAAAGAATAATGCAAGCGAGAACCCATCTGAAATGACAGCTGTGAGCCTGGTGCAGCTTTTCGGGCTGATCAAAGCTCCGGGGAACGCCGCTTGAAAAGGGGGGATCAGCTCCTGGGAACACCCTTTGAAAAAGGGGGATCAGCTCCTGGGAACACCCTTTGAAAAAGGGGGATCAGCCCCCCAGCTCCTCTCCCCACTTAGCCTGCATGTGGATTCCTATTCCAGCCTTTGCGCTTTTTTCCTGGGAGATCAAGTGACCCTTCTGAGGGGCTGGGGTTCAGGTCAGTGCTCTGGGGAGCACCAGGGCTGTCAGAAGTGAAGTGTTGGGGGGTGAAGGAGCCTCTGAGCTCGATGCCCTCAGCACAGGGACCCCCAAAACCCCTGCACAGAGTGGTCTGCTGCTTGTGTGTGAACACTCCACGAGCACAGAGCAGGGGGTGGCTTCTTAGGTGCAGTTTCATGATGGCTTTTATTTAATTCTCTGTGCCTGTTCCATGATTTTGGCTCTTTTCTGAAGTTAAGTGGCGATTTGAGCATCTCAGCTTCTATTTTCTTGTTTTAAATCCCTGTGCTCATTGCTGAAGTCAGAACATGCAACCTCAGGTGCCCAAGTGCTTTGGCCATTAAAGCAGAGGAAATTCTTTGCATGATATTTTCGATGTAAGAACTAATTTTGTGATCTTTGTGCCCTTTTTTTTTGTGTTGATTCCTGTTGTCTGGCTGGTTGTAGAGGATAGGGTTGCGTGTGCTTTGAGGATGCAAGACATTTGGGGTCTTTAAAGGCTGATCAGAGCAGGGCTGAAGGAGTCGGTAATTTCTCCTAGAGCCAGAGCTGCAGGAAGAGGGTCCTGACAGCAGGAAGGGATGCAAATGCTTCTTGGAGTATTCCCTTGTGGTTGACTTACAGCCAAGCCCAGGCTGGAGGGCAGGAGAACTTTGAGAAGGATTGGTCCCACTGGAACAGGAGATGGAGCAGGGCAGAGGTCTGGTGAGCCCCTAAAGCCCATGTGAAGACTGGCCCTGCTCAGGCAGCATCGTGCTCCTCGCCAGTTTTGTTCACAAAGCCCCTGGAAAATCTGCTCAATCCTGAGCTCCCACTGCCATGCCCAGAGCAGGACAGTGGGGCTGTGTGCTCCAGCCCAAACCTGCTGCTCCAGGGCTGTGCCATCCTGTGATCCCCCTTCTCCCACACTCACCTGTGCCTTGGGGAGACAACAGCCATGGGCTGAATCTGGGACCTCAGGGCAAAGAGTTTAACCCAGATCTGTCCATCTTCCCTCACTGCTTCTCTGTTTAAAGTGAAACTACTGATGCAGGAAGCAGGAAAATTTATCTGTGAAGAATTGCACTTGGAACGCTGGTTTTGGCTCATTCTGAGCAATGAGAGAGCATGAAATTGCTGTGAATCCTCAGGGCTTTCCTGGACAGTGTGTGAGCCCAGTGCAAAATGTTTTTTGTAAAACACCTTCTAATTGCAGTGCCTAGAGTGGGCACTGCTGGCCTCGGCAGCAGCTCTGGGCTTTGTTTCCTCTGGGCAGCTGGAAGCAGTGGGCACACAAAGCACAGGGGTCATTTGAGCAGGAATCAGTGCCTTAAACAAACACCAGGAATGAATTGATCTCTCCCTCTACCCTTTTCATTTTCCAGGTGACTTCAGGAGGCTCAGGGGGACTGGGGCTGGTGCTGGCCATCCAGGCTGCTTGTTAAAATGAACTGGGAGCCTGGCAGCCCCTTGGCAACTGGCACAGGGAGCAAAGGGCCTGCTGACACCCCACAGCCTTCTGTGGTCCTGGGGTCCCCCCTCAGCAGCAGTCCCCAGTGCCATTGCTGTCCCCTGGAGATGCCTGCACTTCCCAGGCATTGCTGGGGGAGCACAGTGGCACTGGGCCACTGCTGTCACTCTGCTGGCTACAAGCTCTCCTTGTCCCTTGCTTCAGCTCTGGAAGGCGTTCCCAGTGTCCCATGCTGGGATCCTCATCAGGCAGAGCAGGATGGTGTCAGCTGCCCATCTCTGCTGAGGGGGTCAGCAGCAAAGAGCCCCAGAGGCACCACAGCGAGCTGGCCCAGTGGTGAGGGGTCACAGAGCACTGGTGTCACACAGCAGTGACAGGGAAGCTGTTCCCAGCTGAGCCAGCCCGTGGACACGCTGCCTGGCAAAGGGCATTTTAGCAGGGCATTGATTGCTTTCAGTAGGTTGGATTGATTCAGGGTTCCTCCAGTGCTGGAGCCATCCTGTGAGTGTATCAGTGAGGAGGGTTTTGCCAATCTCAATAATCAATGCCTGTTTCCATTTCCTGTTCCCAGTGCTGCGGCTGCTCTGCCTGCAGCGTTCCCGCACGGAGCGTGAGCAGCGATCACACTTGAGCTGTTTGGAGTGCCATGTCGCAGGGATGCTTTTATCTCAGAATTGGGATAAAAGCTTTTTTCAGGGGCCGAGGGATTAATTTTTCACACATCTGTCCACTGGAATGCAATAACGGAGCCTTTGTTTGGGCTCTTTCCGTGGAGCGCCTTCTCCACCCTTGTTATTTCTCTCTTCTTTTGCATGGCAAAACTTTTTGTCCTGCATTTCAAACGGATCCTGAGTGTCCCTGGCAGCTGAACAAGAGAAACAAACTTTGCAGCCCTGTTTTTTTGTGCTGTTCTCAGGGGATGCTTGGTGATTTGAAGGGTATTTGATTGGTTTTGGCAGAGGCGTTTGATTCCATGGAAAATCCACAGCTCCTCCGATCCCGTACGGATGGTTTAGGGAGCCCCTGGAGCCTCCACATGAGAGATCTGCGGGTGGCCAGCTGGTCGTGGAGGTGCCATGGGAACGCTGAGGACACTGCTCTTGGACTGTGCACCATGGTGGGCAGGGAGGGACAGGGGACAGTGCCAGCTCTGCTCCCGCCTGAGCCACAGTGGGAGGGCCCAGAGCTTGGCCCAGCCCTGGCTCTGCATGAAAATGAAGCCCCAGAGCCTCAGGCCTTGTCCTGCAGATGCTTTCCTTGCTCTTTGGAGGTTGATTTTACTCTTAACACCAAAGTCTTCTCATTCCAGCCCTAATCATGTGTTGGGGGAGCCACTGAGGGTTGATGGCTCCATCACCAACGAGAGGGAATTGAACTCAGGTTCAACACTGGTTATAGCATCCCTCAGTCTGGGTGTGCTTCTCTCCACATCCCACTCCACAGAGGCTGTAGCAGTTACCAGCAGGTTCCCCTGGAGGACCTGGGTTGGCTGTGCAGTGCTCAGGGGGAGCACCAGCCGGGGATCCTCTGCATACGTTTACCTGTGCTATTTTTTTCCCCCTCAACAGCCCTATTGCCATATTTAAATGCAAGTATGTCTCTTTTTGATTGATGTTTTAAGTAGCTTCAAGTTATTCTAGCCTAGTTCTCTGCTCCTTGCCCTGGTAGCTGAGCTGTAGCTGAGCCATAGTGCTGAAGGTAGTGGGCTGTAGTGTGCTGGGCTCGCTCTCTCACTCTCAGGCTCACTCTTCTCTTTCTCAGTGCCTCAGTTGCTCCCTGTGGTTCCTCAGCCTTGCAAAGCAGCTGTGACCATTGTCCTGCTGAGTGCCAGGAGCAGTTGGAGCTCCCAGAGACAAGAAACCTCCCTGGAGTCATTGGCTTTGGGTTTTGGGGTTCTTGGTGACTGCTTGGAGTTTGCCATTGCCCTCTTAAAATACATATATTGAAAGTCAGAGTCTCTGGCAGATCTTTTGAATATTAATTAAGTAAAGACATTAAATCTGCAATCTTGCTGGCAGCATTCCATTCCTCTGCAAGGACTCGGTTCCCTGGAGCAGTGGGAATGTCATAGAGCTCCTTGATCTGCGGCTGGTTTGCTTTCAAGAGCTTTTTCCTTTCTTTCTTTCTTTCTTTTTTAAACCACATTCCATTGAATTTTTTCTGCTTGATCCCAGCAAATTTGTGATCTTGACATGAGGACTTCCTCATATTTTCCATTACTGCTTTGTCTACAGACTGGCACATTATTATCACTTGCAAATAAGCCCAGAAGAGAATTCCCTGGTTGGTTGCGGAGCGGGCTGACCCCATTCCTGGGAGACACGAGCCGAGCGCTGTGGGCTCTGCCTCCAGCCTGTTCTCCTTGGCTCCACAGTGTACCATGGCCAGCAGCCCCGTTCCTCCCGTGCCAAGGGGATTTGTGCCGGCAGGGACCGCTGGCAGCGGGCACCCAGCCAGGGCTCGGCTGTTCCCAAGCACGGAGAGCCGGGATGGCGAGCTCCGGATCCCTGTGCCCCGCAGAGACTCGCAGTACCTGCTGGCTTCTGTCTTTACCCTTCTCCTTTTCTCCATGGCCAGGTTTCCCAGCAGCGGCTTATGGACCAGTAGCAGCGGCAGCCGTGGCAGCAGCAAGAGGATCAGGTAGGGGGGCCCGTGGAAGAGCAAACCCTCAGAGTGCAGGGTCAGGTAAAAGCTCTGTCGGTATTCTGTGTGGCTGCAGCTCTCCATCATTTCTCTGATTTTCCTCACACTTATCCTGGGGACCTGAAAACAAGCAATCAAAAAAAAAAGAAAAAAAAAATAGAGAAAAAATAAGTACTCAATCCCAACCCAAACCCAAACTACAAGCAGAGGCCACGGGGGCTGGAGCACCTGCAGGAGATTGGCGTGAGAACTGCCAAAACCAGGGTAGATATTCCAATTTGTTTCTTTCTTTATTCCTTTATTGCGTTGGTTTCTTTGTTTGGTTTAAATTTGAGGCCCTAAAAGACACCCCAAAAAAGATTAATTTATGTTTTCAGAAAAAAAGGTTTGTTTTCTCACAGGAAGCTGGGGTTGGGTAGAGGCGGTGGCAGCAGCTCTGGGTGCTCCCGCCGTGCCCAGAGCCACCGTCACCTCCTCCACCATGGCCAGCACGGGGCATCCCCACGGCGAGGGGCCACGTCCCTTGGGATGGCACCACTCGTGCCATCGGCCCCAGCACACGGCTGACAGTTCACCATCCCTGCCTGCTCCAACCCCACCGCTTCCATGAGGAACAACAAAGCTTTTCTTCTGTCCTTCTGAAAACTTTCTACTTTTTTTTTTTTTTTCCCCTTAAGGGAAATAAAGAAATTGTTACCAATTGCCATTACTGCCTTAGGTTTAAATTTTCTGAACACGTGAATCGGCGCTTTGCTCAGGTGACAGAGTTCAGAGCAGCCCTCGGTGCGCCGTGGGCTCCCAAAGCAGGCCAGGATGGAGCCGCGGCCAGGATGGAGCCGCCGCCAGCCCCGTGTCCCCTGTCCTGGCGTCTCCTCAGAGGACTTGGGGCTGGCAGCACCTCCCAGCTCACTCCTGGCTGAGCTGGGGGCTCTCGGTGGCTTTTCGGGCAGTGCTGCCGGCTTATCGAGGCTCTTCCCGCAAAGCCCCGACGGCGTGAGGGAGCAGGAGGTGGGCGCAGGCCCGGGCGTGTCTCGAGCGAGAGCCTGGTGCCGTGGAGGCCAGAGAAAGACACCAGGAGAACTCCGTTCCATGCAAACTGGCACTGCTTGCAGGCTACAAAGGACTCTCTGTACCAGTTCCATCCTGTGGCATGTAGAGAGCGCCTAAGGGGTGACTTGCCAGCCTGGTTGTGGGGATCCCCCAACTCCCAGCTTCTCCTACTGCCCCGGCACAGAGGGGGAAAAACAAACCCAAAGAGGGGAAAAAAAACCCCCAAACCCAAACAAAACCCAAGATTGCTTTTGCATATGCTTCCAGGAAAACAGACCTCATTGTTTCTGCCTCTTCCTCATGTTTTGCCCTTCAGGTTTTGTTTTACGTGCAAACAGACCTGGTGAGTTGCCCCTTAGCAAGGCACAGAGGGTTTGGCTGGATTAACGTTGCTTCCCTGATTATTATTATTATTTTTTTTAATCGGAGTGCTTTTGGTGCCCATTACAACTGAACTGAGCATTGATCAATTCTGTGCCTGAAAATCATTTGTCTTTAATTTGAGTGTTTTTTGGTTTCTCTTTTGTTGGGTTTTCTGATTTGTTTTTTCGGTTTTTTTGTTTTTTGATTTGAACTTGCAATACAAAACTAAATCTAACCCTAAATTAACAACACCCTTTCTGGCAAGTTTAAAGAGCAGTATGGTGTTTGGAAATGTCTTTTCAAGCCTCAAAATTGCCTGCGTGCACAAAACTGGCAAAAACCCCAAAACTGAATTCAAAGAGCCCCCGTCCCACCCCCAGCCCTGAGGTCTCAAGGAGGAAGGTGGGTTTGTCACCGGCCCCACTCACATCCGCACCAAGCCGTGGTCTGGGAACGGGGGGATTTCCGTAGAGCCATCTCCATCCAAAGCTGGTTTTGGAAGGGACATCCTGGGTTTGCCACTCCATCAGCAATGGTAGTGAATTGTATCCAGGAGCAGTGGAGTCCGATCGATCTTGCGCTGCAGTGTACGGGCCCGATTCATTACAAGAAAAATGGCTGGGGTTTTTTCCTTCTTTTCAGCTGGGTTTTTGTTTTCCCTTCACAAATTCGCACAGCCCTCCTTCACGCGTGCCTGCTCCAAAGCACACAGAGCACAGCCCCTTTCTGCCAGGAAATGGGAAAGAGCTGGGACACACCCGGGCAGGCACGTCCCACCACCCCCAGCTCACTGGGAGAGCTCTGCCCAGGGCTGCTGGAGCGGCCCCAGCACAGAGCATTGTCCAGGAGGTTCCTGGAAAGCATTGATGACTATCCATGTCATCAGTGTCCCCGTCACTGCTGCCTCTTCAGCAGCTCTCCGGCCCCGTCCTGCTGGCTCTTCCCCACCTTCCTGGCATCGGTGCCGGCACAGAGACTGAGCACCTGCAGGGAGCATCCACCTTCAACTGCGTGTCTTAGTCTCCCCAGGAAGCTGCAGCCCTCTCACTCCAAGCCCCTGGGCACTGACCACCTTGGTTTGTCCCTGGGGTGACATTCCTCCTCTTGGGACACCTGCCTGTTTGCTGAGTCAGCAGGGAGCCTGCTGGGGGCGAGTGCCTGCTCAGGGCCTCCTCCCTGCCCTCACCCCTTCTTTTTCGACGGTAGTGTGTCACCAACTGACCTTGCTAGATAAACAGGTTCTTCTGTGTCACAGCAGGTCTGTCCTACAACCAGCAGAAAGGGACACGTCCCTGTCCCCGTGCTCAGTGCCACCATAAATTCACGTCCCGCGTCGCTGCTCGCGTGCCGGCCGGGTGAGCGCGGCAGCGCTGCTCATCATAAATCACGTCCCCAGTCGACATCCCAGTGATGAGGTGATAGCTGAGGTCCTTCCAGCAGACAGAGGTCTGGCCACATCCATTCGCTCCGGGTGGGGCTGTGCTGCCAAATCCCTCCACTGGTTTTGACAACCTCACCCATTCCTGTATTTTTTAATGAATTGGGACCTGAGCCACGGAAAATGAGCGGTTAAAAGTCTGAATGCTGCAAACTCCTCCTAGACAACTTCACTATCAGTGTCACGTTTCTTTTGAATCCACCTGACATATTTTACGTGTAAAACATTTTTGTCGTGTAAATGATTTTTTTAAAATACAGTCATCGGGGGGCACATTTTTCCTCTTGCATTTGACATGGGAGGGGTTCATCTGGCAGGAGAGCGAGGCGAGGAAAATTTGGCAGGAAAGGGTTTTCGTTCCTTCCTCTTTGCTTCATTGACAAGCCTGAGATTTTTCCAGTTCCCAACCTGTTGCTACCAGCTATTCCTCCCTGAGGACTGGAGACAAAACCCCTAAGGCCACACCAATCCAGCCCTGTCCCAGCTCCCTTGGGCAGGCTTTGCCCGCTGAGCCGGCCGGCGGCGCTCGGCGCAGTGGGACAGCGCGGTGCCGCGGCGCCAGGGTCTGCTCCCCACCCCAACCCCTGGCACATCTGGATTTTGGGCCCCAGTCCCGGCTTGCCAGTGCTGCCTTTGAGCCCTGCGCCCCAACAACCCCTTACTGGACTTTATACTTGCCAGCTATAACAAATCTCATAACGTGAGCTACTGACCTTGATGGTGAGTGTGAGCAGTTATGTTTTGTTGTTTTCTCTCTTGCTTGGTTGGGGCTGCTGTGAGAGAGGGTGTCTCTGAGGCAAACTTTCCGGCCTCTCTTACACTCGGACGTGCACACCTCCTCTCAAACACTCTTCTGAGCGCTCTCAGCGGGAAGGTTTGTCCACACCTATTAATCCTCTCTCAGTGTCCAGCTTCTTGTTAGTAGCAGCTGGTTGCATGTTTTTTGCTTGTTCGGACGAAACGGTTCAAGAAACGACTCATATCAACTCTTGAGAAATGTCTCTATTTTTTTGTACACTTTCTTTCTTTTGATGTTTTTTATTAATTTCCCTTACTTAAAAAACAAAACACCTGTCGTCCCGTAAAACATTTCACATCTCCCCTTGCCTGTTCTTAGAGTGTATGTATCTGTGGGACTGAACTAAATGCATGCACTGTAGTAGTCGTACTGGTAGCAGTAGACGTAGTTGTAGAACATGCATTGTCGAGTTGATATTACAGGCACCATCAACACGAATGAGCGTGGCAGATAAAAGCAGAGCCTTGGTCTGATTGAAAGCGTAGGGATAACACAGCAGAGAGCTGCTGATGGCTTGGATCCATAGAGCCCTATTCGTTAAATCCCATTATCTGGAAGTTTAAATTGAAGCCAGCTGTAGGCAACCTACACCCTCTGTACAAGAACCCGCACACGCTGTTATGCTTATAGTAAAACTTTTTTTTTTCAAATTAACCCCCCTAGGAATTAAAACACTGACTATAACTGTATTCTCTTCTTTTTGTTTTGTATCCAAAAGAACTTAAGATATTTTTCAAATCATTTTACAATCATGGTTTCTCCATCAGCCTGTTACTCGTCCATATTAGCCCATAGACTCATTCCTTGGCAGTCGTAGACCAGATGTGCCACACGCAAATCACTCCATTTGGGAATCCAAATAATTCCGTGTGTGAGGCGGCTCCCCGCAGCCTGTCTTGAGCCACCAAGCAATTGTTTGTAGGTCATAAACCTTAAATCTTATTATGCAACTGAGACTCCGAGCTAGTGATGGGTCGTACTCATTGCCATGTCACCCAGCTTAAGGGAACATTTTTAAATGAAGATTTAACATTTCATAAATATCAGCATGAGGAGTTCGAGATGAGTTCATCCTCTCTGCCATGAGCCAGCAGTGGCTTTGCTTCTCCTGCCTGGGTTTCTGTGCTAAACTTGGAAAATGCAGAGACAGCACTGCAGTCAGTAAATCCAACAGATGGTAATTGAGATCCCAAATTAGGCTTTGGTTTATTTGTTTAGTTTGCTTTGTCAGAAAACATCCTGATGGGAGCAGAAGAGCTCCTCTGTGGTGTGGTCACCCCTCCCCTCCTCCCCACGCCCTGGCCATCCTAAAAACCAGCTGTGCTGGGTGGGAGCATCTCCCTGCTCTGCTGGGCAGAGCCACACACTCGTTAATGCACTTAAAGCAGCAAGGGCTTTCAAAGGAAATCAAACATCCAGAATGGGTTTTCCAGTGTAATTAAGGATTTGTGTCTGCTCCTTACGTCTCATAGAACATGGAGTAAATCAAGCAAACAAGCACTGGGGCTGACACAGTGCATGGTGAGCTGAGCTGCCCCTGGTGCTGCCAGGGAGCTGAGCACTTGTGTGCCAAGGCAGGGATAAGGTTCCCTTTGGATCTCAGTCTTCCAGGAAAACGGGGAACCCACTGTTCAGTGCACCCGGCACAGGATGAAGTGAGGGGTGTGCCGGAAAGTCAGCAGAGCGATGAATTGCGTGGGCTCAGGGAAGCCTTGTCTGACACTTGAGGAAGGTGCTCCAAAATCTGATCTGCTCGTAGTTTAGCAATGGCCATGAAAAGGGGGACAGTGGTTGTGTGTGCAGGGGGAGAGGAGCTGCCACAGGCTCATGGAGGTGTCAGGAGGAGCATTTCAAAGATCCAGCCACGAACCAATCTGGGATTTCTGCGGCCCGCTGGGAGGACTCCCTTGTGGCACGGTGGCTCTGGTGGAATTGCTCTCCCTTTTTTATTCTCTTCTATAAAAGTACATAAAGTTTAATCCGGGCTATGTAATCTCAAAAGCCAGAACCTAACAAGTGGACCACTTGGGAGCAGCAAGGGCTGGAATTTCTCACTCCACTGGAACTGCCAGTAATTATGTGACAGAGCCTGGCGGGTGATGCATTGGGAAATTAATGGCTGCATCAGATTTTATCCTTTGCTTATCTCCCTGGCAGAGGCAGCTTGTGCTGTGGAGCACGGCGGGTGGCCAGGCAGGGACCCCACACTGCGGGGGCTTTTGGGAGGGGTGGGAGCAAGGAAAATCATCCTGGTTTAAACAGGAATTCCATCAGCCAGACCCAGCATGGAGCAGCCCTGGGTGGTGAACACGCTCTGGAGGAGCCACTCTTCATCCCCATGGGTGGTTTTGGCCTTGTCACTGACAATACTGGGAGCCCTGCAGTTACTTGTTTTGCTGCTACCCCAAATTTATAAAATAATAATAATGAAAGGGATATCTTTTCTGTTTGACTCAGAAGTGCTGGGCTGCTCCAGGATGGGAGTCCCATAGGTCCTTTTCAGAGCAGGCTCCAGGCAGAAGAAATCCTGTCTTGTTTTACTGTAGGATGCCACTTTTGGATCTTTTTCAATCCTTGAGGGACTGAGCTTCTTCCTGCAGTGCCAGGGAGAAAATTCAGCAGATATGAAACAATTTGGTGCTGCTGCTGCTCAACCTTGGCCATAGTGGCTGGTGTTTGACATGGCGCTGGGCTGAAGTCTATCGAGGTTAAAATACATCAGCTTTAATCAATAATTTTGTAATAGAAAATCTTGTGCACTTGATAAATCATCTCCAGTGCAATTAGTGACCACCTCTGAAGTGCAGTTGAAGTTAATCTGTAACGAATTTAGCAGGTAACTTTTAATAGTCTTTTCCATCGGGAGAATTATTTTCCATGGGAAAATGTTCCTCAGAATGCTCATCCAGAGCTGTTTTTTATTTAGGAAGAAATTCTTCTTTGTGAGGGTGGTGAGGCACAGGTTGCCCAGAAAAGCTGTGGCTGCCCCATCCCTCGAAGTGTCAGTTGGGCAGTGGAAGGTGTCCCTGCATATGGCAGGGGGTCAGAACAACTTTGTTTCTCCAAAGCCCTGCCACAGCCAATTATCCGTGTTCTATTCCCTTTCTCCCAGCAGAAGCTGGGGAACAGAGCTGTTGGTGCTTGTAACTAGATTTTGCTCCCCACAAGATGCAGGCAAGTTGTTGCAGAGTTTGAAGTTGGGTTTCAGCACGTGCTCTCCAGTGCATGAGATCTTTGAGCACAGGATGGTGCCTCGTGCATTTTAATCCCTAAACAGGCAAAATGCTGTCAGAGCTGAGGGTACTTTGCCTCTGCAGCAGCAGTTGCAGGCTGTTAGCCATTAGTGGAACAACTGCAGACTGTGAGGCAGAGCGCATTGGACTGATACACTACTGTCAGTATCTTCATGCTGATTCTCTCCCCAAATGCTTTAAAAGTAAATACATAATTACAGTGATGTTTTTTCTCCCTCTCTTCTTTCTGAAACAGAAAGCTGCCGGAGGAGCAGAGTAGTTTTTCCTTGCAGCAGATGTTGGTGTGCATCTGGCTCCGTGTGAGCTCAAGAAGCACGGTGGGTTAGGAGTTGCCAGAGAATGCAAAATGGATCTGCAGGTATAGAAACCTGAGCTGTTTAAAAATAATAGACTCACACAGCTGGGGCCTTTGTGAGCATTTCCTGATGGTTAAAAGAGCCCAGAACTCTGTGCCCTGGTGAGGGTTCGGGGTGTCAGCTGCTGACAGTGTGGTTGGTGCCACCAGCTCTCTCCCAGGCACTGTGTGCTGGGCAGCAGCTTGCCTGGTGCAGACCCTCCTGCAAGAGGGGATGGCTGCACAGAACTGGGGACTTGCAGGCTGGATGCCTCCTCTGTTACCTGGATAATCCCCCTGTGCTCCTGAGCATCCCCCCAGCCCATGGGGTCCAGCAGCAGCCGGAAGGTGCCCCCCAGGCAAGGCCCTCCTGCTGCTGTGACTTGAATTATGCAGCAAAACAAAGACCAGTTTTTGGTTTAATTTTCCTCCTGTATTGTCTGTTATTGTACAAAAGGCTTCAATTTCAAATTACAGGAGTGATAGCCAGTTAATGTGGTACAGTGGGAGGCCGGAGTTGCTGTTGCTATGGCAATGGAGTTCGGCTCATTTGTTTTGTAGATGAGTAATTACTACGCAATTAGAGTAGGCTAAAAATAAAGGGGCCTTTTGTTCCCTCTTACTCATTAATATTAATAAAAGACCTGTCCGGGCTGTGGTAAACAATTAATGCAGATGTGGTTGCCCATGGTAAAATTAACAGCAGCTTTCATGCTCCTCGGTGTGAGGTGAAGGCACCGGCATCACCTGGCCCAGCTCTTCCTTCATTGTAAATGGAAAAATGGTTATAGAGGGGTCTGTGATATCCCAGAATCTGAGCTTTAGCTCTTATTTGCCAGTTGGATGGGTGATAATAAGTGTTAAAGCTTCGTGTGCAGGCACAGACAGAAGGAGCAGCGCTGGGGTCGGCGCCTGCGACACAGCAAGCGCCTGCAGCCCGCCGAGGGCTCTGACAGGAACCCGGCCACAGCAGTTCCTGGTGCAGACAGCTCCTCATTCATCCCCCTTGGATAAATGCCAGGGCTGGAGCAAGAAACTTGCCCAAAAACCTGAGCACTGGCAAGGACAAGTGTGGTGCTGCTAAAGGACTCCAGCACGGCGTGATACAAACATGGATTGACAAAAAAGAGTTTAAGGAACAGTCCCAAGCATTTGATGTGAAGTAAAAAGATGACAGTACACTTAGCCTGGGTATTAGGATGAAATTGTTCCCTGTGAGGGTGGGGAAGCCCTGGCACATGGTGCCCAGAGCAGCTGTGACTGACCTTGGAAGCATCCAAGTCCAGGCTGGACAGGGGAAGGTGTCCCTGCCATAGCAGGGGTGGCACTGAACAGGCTTTAAGGTCCCATCCAAACCATTCTGTGATTCTGTGATTCTATCTAGTATGTAAACATCAATCACATCATATTTTAAATTAACTGTAAAACCAGTCAAATTGGCAGGAACCAGTTAGGAAAATGGCTTAACAGGACAGCATTTATCTGCC